AAGAGGCCGAGGAGGCTGGGCCAGGGAGGGCCCTGCTGGGCTTTGCCAAGAAACTAGCAAGTGACAGGTAAGAATGGGGACGCCACAGGAACTAGGAGGGACAAGGGTGGGGGTGGGGCTTCCCCTGGGGTTCTGAAGGGATGGTCCCTCCGTTACCAGGCTAAAATGGCACTTGGAGCAGCTGTGAATGCCAGGCCACTGGGGGGTAAGGGAGTCACTGCCAAGGTAGCTGAGGGCCCCTGGACAAGAGGAGCAGAAGCGGGTTTCCCTGACGGAACCCTCTGTCCACACGCTGGAGCCCGCGGCATTCAAGGCCTCAGAGGGGGCTCCTCTTTCCCCCTGGGGCCTGGGCCCCTTCTGTCCCCCACGCCCTAATGTAGGAGCAACCACACCCACCACCCACAGGGGCCACCCCCAGGGGCCGTCCTCTCACCCCTGCTAAGGCCTGGGGTCTTCCTCCAGCACACGGTGAGCTCCTTCCTCTCACCCCTGCTAAGGCCTGGGGTCTTCCTCCAGCACACGGTGGGCTCCTCTGGTGAAGGGGCAGGCTGGGGCCTCTTCCCAGAGCCGCTGCTGTCAGGAGGGACAATGAGCCAGAGTCCTCCCTCCCAGAGAGGCCTTCCTCAAGGCACCCATTCTCTCCTGCCCCCCAATCCAGCCTCCTGGCCTCACCCCCCTCTCTGGGCCAGTCCTGATATCAGCCTTGTGGCTGAGAGGCAGTCCAGACTGGCAAGGCCTCAGTTTCCCCATTGGGCGTGGCATGGGGGTATAAAAAGGGTAAGGAAGTAGGAGGGCACCCCGGTGTCACCACACCACAGGCCCCCCTCCAGGAGAGGGCTGAGCCTGGCCCCAGGAGATGGGGTCTGGGTGCACCCTCGGGCCTGAATCGTCCTTGAAGCTTTCTGGCTCTCCCTGGGGCTGGGCTCTGCTGCTGCCCACACGGCCTGGACCACACGGCCTGGACTCGGGCCTGGACTCGGGCCTGGAGAAGCCGGCGAGGAGCACCTCTCTCCGTTGCGCCACTAGCCAGGGTCAGAGGTAGAGCTGGGGTCAGGCTGCCACCCCCACAGTGGGGAAACGGAGGCGCAGAGGTCACCGGGTGTCCCCCCAGGCACCAAGTAACCCAAGCGCGTGCGACGCCCCCTGCAGCCTCCACCCACGCCTGGGGGCGCAGTCCCCTGGCCGGCAGCTCCCCTTCTGCAAAGTGGACTGGAGGCGCCCCCTGCCGGCCTGCGGGGAGGCCGCGGCGTGCGATGCGCGGTCTGAGCGGCCCCTGACCGCCGCCCCCCTGCACCCGCTCCCTCCCTCACCCCCACCGGCGCCGCGAGTCGGTGGGAACAGGAGCGCGGCTGCGGCGCCTCCGCGTTCCAGTGACAGCGCCTTTGTCTCGGCTGAATGGGTGCGTTGCTAAGGCCGCTCGCTCGTAGCAACAGAGCCGCTTCCACCTCGGCCGCGGCTCCACCCTCCGGACCCCCAGCCCCGTCCTGACGCCCTGCACCCCCACACACCGCCACTCACCCCCGCCCCGTGCGGGGCGCCAGGCTGCCAGCTGCGGGTGCGCTCCGCGCGGGCCACCGCCCACCGCCCTCTTCAAAGCCCGGGAGCCCCCGTGTCCTGGGTTGGAGAAACTGAGGCTGGGGGGCAATGAGCCAGAGTCCTCCCTCCCAGAGAGGCCTTCCTCAGGGCACCCATTCTCTCCTGCCCCCCAATCCAGCCTCCTGGCCTCACCCCCCTCTCTGGGCCAGTCCTAGGGATGCCGCCCCCAGGCCAGGACTCGCTAGGGAGGTCCTGCCCCAGGCTCAGCCCCCACCCTCTCCACCCGAAGGACTAGGGGTTCCCACTCAGACAGCCCAGCCCAGCCTCTAGAGCACTGGAGAAGAAGCCTGGGGACTTTCCTTCCTGCTGGGCCATGGCCCTGACCACAGACAGCCGCCTCTGGGCCGCCACCCTCTCAGCGGCCCCAGCCTGCCCCTCCTTCCTGCTGAGCTCCCACAAACCCCACCAGGGCCCCCAGCTCTGCGCCCTAACTTGTGGTCTGTGAGCGCCCCTCCCCCCAGCTGTTCCTAGTCCAGCAGCACTGTCCAGCCTGCGGCGATAAACCCTATGAATGAGCTCTGTCCTGTCCCTCCCTGGGGTTACCTGGTCCAGGTGTGGGGGACGGATGCTAGGCTCCTGGGAGGGGGGTGAGAGAAGCTGCCACTTTCACTCGAGCTCCAGAGGCCCAGGTGCCCAGCTGCCCTGTCCGGTGGGCACCACCAACCCTTACCAGCCCTCCTGCATTCCTTAGCACCTGGTCCTTAGCTGCTGGGCCCAGAGGCCCTGCCCCCTGTTGTAGAAGAGGAAACTGAGGCTCACAGGTCTCCATGACTCAGCCCTGGGTGACACGGGCTCCGAGCGCGGAGGAAGCGCCCAGTCTGGTGAGATGGTGCTGCTGCCTGATGAGGGGGTAACCCCAAGGCAGGACCCAGGTGCTGGAGGGGCCTTCTAGGATCCTGGCACAAAGGCAGCCCAGCAGGTGGGGGGGGGGGCAGACCCGAGTGGTGGAGTGGAGGTGAGAAGCTGCCTCGCTCCCTCCCCGGTGTTAGGGGTCCCAGCGCATTAAGCTCCCCTGTCCCCACGTAGTCATCGCGTCCTGGGCTGGGCTGGCCCCATCATGTGCGCCTCACGCAGGGCGAGCCCATTAAGAGAGTCCCCAAGACTGGGCATTGGCAGGGGCCGGCGCCAGGCATCTGTTTCACTTCTGAAGGTGTCAGGAGGGAAAGGAACCCCTTTTTCTCTGCATAAAAGCCACTGCCAAGCTGTGTGCCTTGGGCTGCCTGGCCCTTGAGGAGCTTTTTCTAATTTGCAGAGCTACTAGGTGGGCCAGGAACAGTCAGGTTGGTCAAGACCGAGGTTTGCAGGATGGCCTGCCCCTTCTCTGTGTGACTTGGACCACGTTACCGCCCTGCACCTCACTTTCCTCCGCTGTAGTCTGGCTGCCGCTGAATAACGTTGGCTGCAAAGAGCAGGTGGGAGGACAGCGAGAGGCAGGCAGAGCTCAGCCTGGAGGCTCAGGTGGCGGCTGTGCTCGCTGCTGCCACCCAGTGGCGGGGAGGAGGCAAGGGAATAGCGCAGGGACCAGGCTGGGACCCTTTCTGGGCTGAGGGGGACAGAGAGGGAAAGGACAGTGCTTGGGAGCTGGGTGGACCCAGTTGTCTGAATTTCACCTCTAGATCACTGACTGGGGAGCACCTCGCATATCTCCTCCTTTCTTAGGTTCTAATCCTTGCCTCATGCAGCTACAGTAGGGACCATCGAAAGGGGTGCTCATTAAATGCTCCCTCCTGCCCAAGGTGGGGACTGAGACTGACATCCATGGTGGAATCAAGATGTAAGCCCCAGAGGCCCCGGCCTCTCCCAGTTCTTCTGAGTACGTCAGGGTGCCAGGGATGAGGTGGGGCCCGCACAGTGGTGTCCCCATTCTGATCCCCACACCTCAATCAGCCTCCCTAGGCCCCCCAAACCTTCCTAGGTGGTTCTGCTTTGGCCCCAAAATGGAAAAAGGCAAAGGTAGCTGGAAACTAATTGCAAAATTTATTCCAGGGTGGCAGGGGCTGGGTAGCTTCTTAAGGGCACTTCTCGTTTGGGGGCTGTGGGGCTCCAGCCTGGGCAGGGGTGCACATTTCAGTGGACAAGGGTGGGGGCTGAGGCAAGGCGGTGGAGGGAGGGGAGCAGGGGTGCCCAGTCACTGTCAACTGGGCAGGTCGGCACAAGCTGCAACAGCAACATTAAAGCAGGACAGACGGTGGCCTGGAGCCGGACAGGAACAGCGAGGCCTCGCCCAGCGCCTGGCTGGGGCATCTTTCAGGACACAGGGCAAGAGGCCAGGGAGCTAAGGCCCAGCTTCAGGGGGTGCAGCAAGGGACCCAACGCAATGGGGTCGATGAAGGAGAAGCGGCTGATCAGCAATGTCCCTGACCTAAAGGCCCCTACACCCTCCCACGTTCGCCCACATTCCTACCCATGGACACCCTGAGCTGCCACCCAGGGTATCCTGCTGCCGAAGTAGCAGTTGGGGGGGAGGGGGTTGATGAGGGGCGCAACTGCTCCTCTCGGGATTGGAGTGGAGGCTGTGAAATAATGACCCAGCCCACCCATGGGGTGCTTGGTATAAGGGTGCTTGGGAGAGTCCATAGACCATGCTTGGCGCTAATCCCCAGACCCCAGACTCAGATCTTCCCTGTGTCCCCCACATGCACCTTTCAAGGGGCAGCTAGGACATTAAAAAAACAAAACAAAACTCTGGGCCTCAGTCCGCAGGTAGACGCCAGCGGGCTGGTCACCTGGGACAGGGCACGGACGCTGATCGTGCCAGCTTCTCCTCTGCAGGGAGGAGGCTAGAAGATGGTTGTAGCTGACTTCTTACAGGTCACCAGGCCGGTTTCCCCTGCAGAAGTTGGGGGAGGAGGGTAGCGGGCTGGGGAGGGGCCTTTTTGTCCTAACCCACCTCCCAGTGTCCTCTAGGCCCGTCCGGCCTGCCCAGTTTTGCTGATCCAGGCATCCCCAGTTCACGAGACAGAGGGCTGCCCGCCTGGTGTCCGTGAGGTTCTGGAAACCCTCTCTTCTCCCCCAGTTGATCCCTGCAGTAACCTCTCTGCCTCTGTTTCCAGAAGGGGAGCGGGGTGACCTCTGACCCAAGGGCCGCAGAGGAGCCCTCAGGGAACCCCAAACCTCCTCCCTGCACCTGCACACCAGACAGCTGGGAGCAGGGAGGGAGGTGGTCAGCATCCCCTCCGTGGGGGCTCTGAGTGGCAGGCAGGAGGAGGCTGTGATGAGCAGGGCCCCCCTCCCCGGCCCTGCCCTCCCATGCCACCTTCCCAAACACAGGGCTTCCGAGAGCGGGGGGCAGGGGCCTGCGGGGTGGGGCTCCTGGGTCAGCATCATAAAATAAACCATCTGGAGTGCGTGGGGGCAGCGCGTGGCCCCTCCCCCGCCGGGCCCCCCTGCTCTCGGGGCCAGGCTCAAGTCTGCTTGGCTTGAAGCATCTCGATGAGCAGGTTGTTGCGGGGCATTTCGTTGCCCAGGTGCTTGTGGTACAGGTACTCCTTGGCCTGCATGCTCAGCGCCCGCACCTCCACCAGGCACAGCAGCAGCTGCTGGAACTTGTCCCCACAGTGCGGGTAGTGGCACAGGGTGTAGTCGAGCAGCGCGGCGTTGGCCTTCTCCTGCGCGTCCTTCACCAGGCCGTGGTTGTTCAGGAACTTCACATCTGCAAAGGGGGCGCACTGTCGGGCCGCCCCTCCCCGGCGCCACGCCTCCCAGCGTCCACGTCACAGCAGCTGCCCCGGTCGCCTCGGGGTGCCCCCACCACCCACGCCGGCGCCCACCTGGCAGCCTTCTCCCCAGACATGGCCACTGCCACCCACAAGCACCCCGTCACCCCTGTTGCCATCATCCCCCTAGGGGGCGCCACCACCCCCAGTCGGCCAACATCCCTGCCATCATCCCTGCCATCGGCCACCCCAGCAGCCACCTGTCACGCCGCCACCTGCTGGGCCACGATGGCTCCGGCGCTAAAACGAGAGCATGGGCCGAGGCGCTCCCTCCGCGCCCTGGTGAGACGGCGCCGCTGCACCAGCCCCCGAGGTTGTGCGAGATTCCGAGGGGCCCCGCAGCGGGAGCGGAATAAAGAGGCCGTCATGGGGCTCCTCCGTGCCCGGCTGGGGGGTCCCACCCCAGTCCCCGCCAGCACCGTCCCGGCCTAGGGTCCACACCACCCGCCAGGGTCCTCCCATGGCGGGGTCTGGCCGGGCCGGGGTGGCCGCCCCAGGAGCCTGCGCAGAGTGGGGGCGCAGGTGGGCCGCAGCGCATGCGGTGGGGCTGAGTGGATACGGCAGAGACAAAAAAGGAAGATCCAGAGAGATGGTGAGGCTGCACCCTCTAGTTAAAGACGCTCCTGAGAAGGCGAGAAAGGGCTGGCAGGGAGGTGGGAGCTCAGCAGAGAGGGTGCCCATCGTTGGAGGAGGCTGTGAAGAAAGCATCTCCCCACAGAGGGGTCCAGGGAAGGGGCTGATGGGGGTCTCCTCTAAGAAGGCCGTGCCCACCTCGCAGGGTCAAGCTCTAGTTCTGCTCAGGCCCCTCCTTCAGCTCCTGGGCAGCTTCTCCAGCTGGTGGCTGCCAGGGCCCAAGGGTCAGCGGGAATCCACAGGCTCTCTCCCCACTCCCCAAATCCCAGCCTGGGTTGTGGTGTCCAGCAGCTCAGAAAATGGCTGTCCATGCCCTGGCGTCAGCCCCCATGGCCCCAGCCGGCTGCTGCGGGGGAGTAGTGGGGTGACATGTGCAAGGCTTGGCCCTTCTAATCCTCCCTAACACCCCCTGCGCCAGGAAGGCTTCACGCTCCTGGCAACCCTGATCCCCAGCCGCCCCCAGCGCACCACCAAGGCCTGTGTTGTCCCAAGTTGGATTTAGGGAAACCCGAGCTGGGCCCCAGGCATATGGCAAGACCTGACCTGATCCTCCACCCCAACCCCCGGTCCCCCACTTTCCTTCAGTAAGTGAGCCTGGGTCATTTTCATCCTCACCCTGCCAGGATTGCCGTAGGCACCTTTGAGACAGTAAGAACGTTCTTCCTCTTTCACAGAGACTTGGCAGAGGGCACACAGGCTACATTTCACCCCTAGGGGTCCCTGGGTGCCTTTGTGCAGTGAGCAACCTGCCCAACTGCCCAGAGCAGACCCTCTCTAGCCAGCCTGCTCCAGACACACGCGGAGGTCCGGGGAAGTCCCCGATGCCCGCTCCCGCCTCACTGACCTCAGGGAGCAAGTTGCCTCCTGGCCCGACACCTACCCCAACCTCTTTGCACCCTAATTCTGTCTCCTCTAGCTTCACCCCTCCTGCTCCTGACCCTCCCCGGGGCTGGGCAATTCTCTTGGCATTGTTTTCTACCAATTCACAGGAGGAGGCTGGGGGTCCAGAGCAGGACAGAGGCCAGCTCAAGGCCACACAGCGTAAAGGGGTCTGAGGAAACGGGGGGAGGAAAAGGGCTGGGGTGCCGCCTGTGGCAGTGGAGGCGGGAGTGGCAAAGGAGGGGAGCTGGGGAGGGCCAGGCTTTACCAGGATTTACTGTCCTCAAAGGGACAGAGCCAGGGACAGCGGGCTGGAGTGCAGGGTATATGGGAGCGGAACAAGGACAGCTTTCAGGGTCAGTCCCGCTCCGGGCAGTTCTACGGGTCCCTCGGCCTCTGTGGACTGGGGGCCCCACTGTCCCCCTGAAGTGGGCTACAGCACTGGGGAGGGAAGCACAGGGTCTGCCCCAAGGGCTTGTACCCCAGGGGCTCCAGGTATGATGGGCAACCTAGTGTCCTGGGCCCCAGGAACATTTCGACCAGTCCCAGAGTTCCCCCACAGAAACTGAGAAAGGTCAGGGGGTGTATGTGGATGTGGGGTGCGCCCAGGACAATAGGCGGCTGTGTCTGGATGTAGGTCCAGGTCTCTCTGGCTCCAGATCCCTGTGGGCAAGCAGGGTGGGGTCAGATTTGGACTCAGGCTCCTGGGGAGCTGGACATGACATCTTCAGGACCAGCCAGTCCAGGAGTCCCATCCTGGGGGCCTCACCCCTGGGGTCCCACCTTTCCCCAGAGAGCATATCTGGAGTGCTCCTTCTCCGAAGGGGACCATGGTCAAGTCCTGCCCCTTGACTGACCTTCCGAGACAGACGGATACCCGTGAGCTGACGACCACGGCCAAGCCACCGTCCCACAGCCCACTCGCCCCGAGCAGGGGTCGCACAAGCCAGACCGGCCTGCCTCCCAGTGTCAGGCTCCACCGGCAGCGGGGTGACCTTGGGTGAGTCCCTTCCCTTCCCCGCTCCGAGCCTCCGTTTCCTGTCATCTGCTACATAGATACAAATGAATCTCTGCTTCCAGGGTGTCCGAGAACCAGAGCTGTTTGGTGTCAGCTCTGGGCCCTGAAGCGCAGAAGGCTGGACAAGACGCGTGGAGATGAGCCGCAGAGACCCCCCAAGTCTGCCGGGTTCCCAGCAATCCTGGAGGTGGGAGGGGGCTGGGAGAAGACACCCCCGCCCCAGAGAGCCGCCTGCTAGCTCTGCCAGCTCTGCCGAGCTGGGGGCCCTGCAAGCTCTCAGAAAAGCCCCCTTTTCACGGTTTAATTGAATATTTGAATAATCCTTTCATTCCAGCGAGGCATAAAGAATGTTGTCCCAATAGCGGTGACTCAGGCAGGCGCCCCCGCGCACAATGGCCCCTCGAGTGGGGCTGCTATTCAGGCCGCCTTTTGTTGGCTGGGAGCAGTGGGTAAATTGCAAACGCTTAAGGGAATGCTGCCGCCTCAGCCTCAATGGAAGTCAGGAAATCGAATGTTAGGTCAATCCATTAAGCTTCGATTAAGTCCTCTGCGGAACAATGCCAGCCGGGCCCATCTTCATAAACACCACGATTGCCAGGAGAGAGGCACTAATTTTAATTAAACCTCCTTACCTGCCTCCACGCCTGCCTGAACCGGCTATTTAGACACCAAATGGTGCCCTTCTGCAAAGGCAGGCGAGAAAGAGGCGCTGAGTGGGCAGGAGGGTGGTGGGGGCCATCACCGCAGTCCGCTGCCCAGCCAGGGAAGCGCTGATGGGGCTGACGCCCAGCACGCCAGCTGGGGGTCTTCGGGCCTCCCTCTCCGGACCGGTCCCCTAGCAGACCAGTGGTCTGGGGGCCTCGGGAGAGGACCCCCCCCTTCCAGACTCCGGGCAAAGCTTCTCCTGCACTCTGCCCGAATTGGCCCATGCACCCCAGCCTGGGGCCTGGCCTCTTACAGACAGACATCTGGGCTGCCACCTCCATCCTCGCCTGAAGTGAAAGGACCTTGCTAAAATAAATGCGAATTTGATCGTGTTCCTCCAGCTTCAGACCTTCCCAAGGGCAGGCTCTTGTGCTCGGCATTCAAGACCGCATGGCTCGGTCTCAGCCTGCCTCCAGCCTCCTCCCCAGCTCCCCGCCCACAGCCCCGGGATTCCCCACACTTCTCCCCACACTTCGGCTCCTTCCTTCTGGAATGCTCTGACTGCAGAGCATTCCTCCTCATACTACCAGCCCAGCTCAGAGCCCCTCCTCCAGGAAGCCCAGCCCAACGTCCTAGGTAGACTCAGGTCTCTCTCTGGAGACCTCATCACACTCACTTCCGGGACGCCCCTCTCAGGAAGCTGCCAGCCAACACTGCCGCCCTACCCCCAGCCCCCACCCCGGCTTCCTGCTCTCCCAGGAGCTCAGGCCTTCTCCTGCACACATGGCACCCCAACCCCCCGGGCCTGCTGGGCTGGGCATCCCCCACCCCTCAGCTTGACCACGTCTCTGCCCCCGGAAACCAGGCAGCGTGCAGACACACTTCGGGCCACAAAGATGGAGTCTGACTCCATCATCCCCCACTTCCTTTGTCACTCGGTCATTGGCGTGGGAATTTCAGTAACGATAACGGCGCTGAGGGCGGCACTGACGCGCCTCCTGCGAGGCCAGGCCACGCCGGGCACCAGGGGGGTTCTCTCATTGAGTCTCGGGAGCAAAAGGACTATTAATGATCCCCACGTACAGGTGGGGGAGTAGAGGCCCGAAGAAGGGGAGGTTCGGTGGCACCCAGCTGGGGGGGGGCGGTATCTAGGTCTACACCCTGGTGCCCACCAATACCCTGGTGCCCACCAACCTCACGCCCGCCACTGTCTCCCCAGTTCCCACCCCGACCCACTGTCGCCTCCCGGCCTGTGCCATCCAAGCAGAGCAGACAGGCCACGTGAGGGCCACGTGAGGGCCACGTGAGGGCCACGTGAGGGCCACGTGAGGGCCACGTGAGGGCCATGTGAGGGCCACGTGAGGGCCACGTGAGGGCCACTTGAGGGTGGGTCTGAGCCCAGCCACGGGCCTGGACCCAGAAGAGCGCTGGGCTCAGCTCTGCTGCCTCCTCGTGCCCGTAGGAGGAGCCGCTGAGGCCAGCGGCTGAGCTCACAGCAGAGGCCAGCTGGACGCAGGGCCGGCCGTCACAGCGCCTGGGCTTTGGGGCAGAGGGCAAGGTGCTGCAGCCGAGTGCCTGGGCCCCATGTGCAAGACCAGGCCGCGGTCCTCCTCTGCAGAGGGCGCCCAAGGACAGAGACCCCTGTGCAAGCAGACGTGACTGGCGACCCACCTCCCGGGCCTCCCTGGTGACCTCGTGGTGGTGGTCACCTCGCAAGCCACCCAGACCACCACTGACCCCACCCGCCAACCTATGTGCCTCCAAGCCCTGCAGTCCCCTCCAAACCCCCATGCCTCCAAGTCTCCCCATTGCCCCCCAATGCTCAGGCATAAAGAACCGCAACCCTGTACACTCGCACACGCGTGAGCGCAACCAAGACACACACAGGCACAAACACACGGCCCCTGGTGGCCACAGCCGCAGCAGCTGACGCCCAGCACCTAGCCTGAGCCACCCCCGGAGCCCCTCAGCTCTCAAACAAAAGGTCCGAGGCAAGGGGGGCGCCCGCAGGAGCCGGCCTGGCCTGGGCCCCCCCAAGGGCTTTGGGTCCCGCTCCAAGTGGCTGCCCCAGCGCTCACTCACGCCCCAAGAGGAAGCCAGCTTGATAAAGACGGGGTTGCACAGCAGGTGCTCGGCAAATGTAGAAGGAATGAACGAGGGAGGCAAGGAGGACGGGCAGAGGGGTCTGAGCTCTCCATTGCTCCGTGCCAGAATTTGGACCCCCAGAGCAGGAACTTGGGAAAAACAGGGACCCGCAGCGGCAGCCAGGGGGCGAGTCCCTGAAATCCCGGGACACGTTGAGGAAAGGACTCAGGCACTTTTCGAGGGCTGCTGCTCAGGAATTTGCCAGACTCCAGCAGGGCCCTTGCCCCAGAAGGGGCAAGACTAAGGCCTTGTCTTGGCCGCAGAAACGGAGGGCCGGCGAAGGAGCCCCCACACCCTATTCACCAGGAGAGGGGCCCTGGCCCCGTGGACTCCTCCTCCCACGGAGCCGGCTTGGCCGCTCCTGGGGTGGCCCACCGCCCACGCCGCCCCCGGCCGCCCTGCGGGCCAGGCCACCGGCCACTCACCGAGGCTGAAGAGGATGAGGAACTTGAGGCAGACGAACTCCTGGCGGTCCAGCTGCAGCGTGTGCAGCTGCAGTGCCAGCTCCTGTGCCCGCAGCACCAGGCTGTGCAGCAGGGAGCCCGCCTGGGTGGCCACCGTGGTCAGCTCCACCTGGCGGGCGGGGCGTGAGGTCAGCGGGCGCGCGGAGGCCAGGACGTGGCGAGTTCTGATCGGGCCCGGGGGCGATGTGGACCGTGGGAGGCGGGGGTGCGCCTGTCCAGGAGCTGACCCACCCGGCCCTCCCACTCCCGAAACCGAGGCCGCAGCAAGTCTCCCGCCGGGCCCAGAGCTGAGGGCCGGAAGCTGCAGAGCCCGCGGGACAGGTGGGCGCAGACCAAGGCCAGAGGCTGTCACACAGGCCGCCCGCAGGGGCACTTGCGGGCTTTGTTTCGTACAGGACTGCAGCCTGCAGCCTGCATGACAGCTTGCTGGCCCTGGGGGCCAGGGCCTGACGGACACGGGTGGACTTGGCCGAGAGCCCCACGTGTGGACGCGGGGGCTGGCACGTGGCCACACCTCAGCCCACCTTCACACAGAGCACACGCCTGGGGCGTCCCACGCGCAGGTGCACACACTCATGACGTCACCGGGCAGCACAGAAACCCCGGTGCGTGCTCACGTCGCGTGGCAGGACAGTCCCAGCACCGCACGCTCACATGGGTGCCACGACACCAGCGCACTCGCGGGCACGAGGCGCACGCGCACAGCTCACACTGCCCTCTGCCCCCCGCGGCCCCGGCGGCTGAGACCCCCAGGGCTGAGAACCGAGGGTGAAGAAGGAGCGAGGGTGGAGGCAGCGGGTGGGCAGCGACCCCGCACCCCCTCCAGCCCACTCCTGTACCCCCACCCAGCGTGGTCCCCCCACAGTCAGCCCCAGCTCTCGGGCCCCTCCTCTGCTTCCCCTGCTTCCTACATCTCCCCCGCACTTGCGCTTAGCCCTTGGGGGCCCCCCTTGAACATGCACCCCGGCATCCCAACACTGACGGGGTGCAGCCTCCAGTTGCCTTCCGGCCCACCCACGTGCTCAGACACAACTGGTCATGCTCTTCCCCTAGAGTCTCCCCTGTGGCTTCCTGTGGCATTTTAGGGAACCCCAGCTCCCATCATAGCGAGGTGTCCTCAATTCTAAGGGGACCCAAAACCTGACTTTGAGCTCCTGGGCCCAGAAGCCCTGTGTGTTCACTCTCGTTCATGGCTTGAGGCTGGGCGCTCTTGCCCCACCCGCTCCTAGGAGCCTTCCAGCCTTGTCTCTCCCCGCCACCCCATGGGGCACCTGCCCCCAAAACCCGTATCTGCCACCGAGTCTGCCCTGCTCTCCCCTCTGTCCCACAGCCTTTCACTCCCTGGCCGCCCCGATTTACTCCTTCAAGACCCTGCCCGCACCCCTGAGCTTCTTCACCCAAAGCGGGGTCCCCAGAACCTGGCTCTTCTCGTGGCCAGGGCCACGGCTGGGCAGAGGTGGGTCAGCCACAAGGCACCCCATGAAACTGGGGCAAGGGCCGAAATCTGGAGTGCCCGGGCCAGCCCTGGAGAAGTCTGGGGCCCCTGGAGGGCGGGGGGCGGGGCGGCAAGGCGGGCCTGGTCACCTCTTGCCCGGTGACCAGCAGGATGCTGCTCTCCTTGCCGTGCTGGATCTGGCGGTAGATGTGGTCGAACACCAGCAGCTCGCTCCAGCAGCTCTGCAGCAGGGTCATCTGGTCGGCCACCTGGAAGGAAGAGGCGCGGGGTGCGGGGTCACCCCTCCTGCTCCCCGCTCTCAGTTCTGGGACTCAGCCGCTGTGCCCAGCCTCCCAGGTCAACTCCTCAATGTGGACCCGGCACTCTGGGCGGGGAGCGGCCTCCGGACCAGCGCTGCTGCTTAGCTGTGTGGCCCTGAGCAGCTTCCCTAGCCTTCCTGGGGCTCAGTTTCCTCACCTGTGCAGTGGGCTAAGCATGGTGTGGCATGTGCAAGGCATCGATACGTTTTCACACAGAATGTCCCTAGCGGGCTGCAGCGTGGGAGAGTGGTGCTAATTTTCGCCTGTGCCCACTGCGCTGTGTGTACAGGTCCAGCAGCCTAAATTGCTCAAAAATAGGCCCTGGAGGGGCCCTCCCTGGTGGCGCAGCGGGTTAAAGCACAGCACTGAGAATCTAAAGCCGCTTCCACATGAGTTCGATTCCCGCCTGCCCCGGAGGTGACCACATGGTGTGGCAGACCTCTCCTGACCCGCCCGCTGCTCCCCTCAGCAGTGGACTTCGTCGATCTGCCTGTTCTGCTCCCCACTCTGTCTCTGGTGAAGCCTCTCACCGCCCCTGAGCCTCTGGCCTGTACCCCAGTTCTGTATGCACAAATAAATAAAAAATAAAATCTTTAAAAAAAAAAAAATAGGCCCTGGAGAGAAAACAGAGGGCTCCACAGGCCTTCTGCTGAGCTCGCAGGCTCGGGGGGAAGGGAGACCCCCGTCCTTCCCAGGCGATGAGCAGGGGAGAGCAATGCTTTGAGGAGGGCGGCGGCACAGAGAGCCCCACGGGGTGCTGAAGGCCCAGCGCCCAGTGTTCAGACGGGCCCATCCCTGTGGTGATGACCATCCACTTTGGGGGACCCATGTCCACTGCCATGGCATCTGTGGGATTCGGACTGGGGGGGGCGCCAGAAGAGCCCTCTGGGGCTCCCTGGCCGAAGTGTCCAGGCTTTAGATGAAGAATCTGCCACCCAGGGAGGTCGAGGCCTCTCCTGGGAACACGCGAGGCAGAGTCAGGCCAGGGCCGCGACTGGCATTCTCAGCGGCACATACGATGCCCTCCAGGTGTTCAGAACCGCGCAGGGCGCTCCGGGGCCAGCCAGGGGTGGGGGGCGGGGGTGGCCACAGTACAGGCTCCCGTCCCTCTTAGCCTCTGCTGACCTCCTGGGCTGGGCCCTGGAAAGCAAGCCAGCTAGCTGCTCCTTTGTGGCAGCCCCACAGCCCTAAGCAGTTGGCATAGCTGTTAGTCCCAATCTGCGAAGAGGAAACTGAGCCCAGATAGGCCAAGAAAGTCGCCCAAGGTCACACAGCTCTGTCTGGCTCCAGATCTGAGCTTCTCGCCGGCAGGCTTCACCCCTGCCACTCAGGCAGGCTCATGGCAGCCTGTGGAGCCCACCCACATCCTCCTCCCTTCGCGCCCTCACCATCCTCTGGACAGGGCAGCTGCATTACCTGATGGCATCAACTCATGCCTCTGCCCCGCCCAATGCCTGTGGCCTCGGGGAAGGCCAGGCTGGTGACCAGCGGCTCCCAGAGCAGAGGTAGGTGGGTGCTGAGAAAGCACGTGCTTCCCGGTCACACGAGCACACAGGCGAGAGCCACCCTCTCCCACCAGTGCGCCCCACCCCAGTGGCCAGCCCAAGGAGCCCAGTCTACCCCTGGTCTGAACTGGCCTGGGTCTGATGAACAGCTCTCTTCTTGGGGTGGAAGCCCTGCCTCTCCTCTGTCCCCTCCTCACTGGGGGCACCCGGGGGGCCTCTTTCAGGCAGATGGATGGAGAGGCAAGAGCGGACAAAGAGAAAAGCGAGCGGCTGCACACCAAGTCAGGCTCCTTCCAGACCCCCTTTCCCAGTCCAGGGGGAGGGTCGGTGCCTGTCCTACTCCAAGCCACCTGCCATCCACCTGCCCCCTCCAGCCCCAACAGTGCCAGGACCCGAAGCCCAGCCAGGGGGCCCCGGGCCTGCCACTGCCAGCCCTGGAGGGAGAGGCCCGGAGAGAGTGAGAACCAGGAGGAGTCACAGACACCAGCTCTCCTCAGGGAGAGGCCCAGAGCAGGGAGCGGGGATCCCCCCCATACACACGGGTTGCAGGGAGGAACGGGGTTCTCAGGCTCTCTCCTCCTGACGCCCAGAGCCCCGGGTCTCTGCCCCGTGCCATGTCCCAGGAAGCAGCGGCTCCCTTCGGGGGGCTTCACCCAGAGGCCCCAGCTGCATGGGTCCTCTGGGGATGTGGGCTCCTGAGGCCCTGGTGGAAGGGGCCGGCCAGGGGAGCGGCACAGGCCCCTGTGGGCCCCCGGTGGGGGGTGGTGTAGAGGGGTAGAGGAGGAAGACACAGGGCTGGGCTCTGCCCCGCACCCCATGAGCCCTCGGGAGCAGACACCCTTGTGCCAGATTGAAGGAACAGGGGGTAAGGGGTGGAAGCGGGAGCGATAAGGGGGAGAATTAGGAGATAAGCAGGCCGCGCTTCAGGCAGAACGCAGCAGGGGTCACAGTGACCGCCCATGAGCCCTGGAAGCAGACTCCGTCCCCAGCAGCCCGAGTGGCAGCCCTGCCCCGCAGGCTGATAGGGGAGGTGGGTGGAGGGCGACAGGCGAGCGTGGCTGTGGCTTTTGTTTCATTCCCAGCTCCCAGCCCAGCCTCAAACCCTCCTCTGCCCGAGCTTCCTGTCCTGAGAAGTGGGGACGGGAGTCCTCCCTCTCCGGGCAGAGGGAGCACTCGAGCAGCGCACAGAGGAGTGAGGGCTCTGCGGCCTGCTGTTTGGTTCTCTCGGGGATGCTGCCGTGGGCCAGGGGGCCCCCATCTGCCTTTCCAGCCAGGTGTGTTGCTGGCCTTTCCCTCCACAGACAGAGGGGTGCACAGACACCAAACTCCGCGGCGGGCACACACTTCCCTTTTTATTTAACGTGGAACCAGCCACGCAGCCGCCAGCCCCCGGCGGGAAGCAGGTGGCAAACAGGCCCCTCACTTCACCTTCCCGGTCGCTCCCGAGGCAGCGAGGCAGCAGGTCCCCCTCGACCCTCAGGCCTCGCCCAGCCGTCCTGGGCCCCGGGCCCTAGGGCCCGGCCTGTCTGCAGCCAGGGCCCCAGCCGCCTGCCCGGCCCCACTGCCGGCTGCCACAAATCTTCCCGGAGCCTTGACACTCCGCGGCCTGCCTCGGAGACAGGGTATTTATGGGCGCCAAGCTGACCTCCCTCCCGGCAGGGCCCCCGAGCCCCCCGGCCTGCTGGTGAAGGCCAGCCGCCCTGCACGCTCCAGCGGCCGGCGCACTCAGCTCCACGGCGCTCTCCCGGCCAAGCGGTCAGCGGCCGCCGTTTGTCAGCCTGCAACTGACAGTTACTGCCGCTTAAACGAACCCATATATCTGAGCAGTTAAATCTGTTGCCAGCCCGGGGCCTCGGAGCTGCCCATGGAGGGTCGCCCTGGTATCAAGACGGGTCATCGGGCCCTCTTGGCCCGTCTTCCCTCCCTGATTCCTATCTCGCAGCCTCCGGGCCTGTCTGTCCTTCAGGGACGGGGCCCCTGCCTGGGCCCACGGCGGCCTCCCCTCCCCCCCCAGAGGCTCAGGGGGCTGCTGCCACCGCGCAGGTAAGGAGCGTGGCTTTATGAGCTCAGGGGGGTGCTGTCCATCTCCCAGAATTCTCCTGGTCTCCTGGGCCCTGATACAAAGTATCTTTCCTCACTTCCACCTGGCCTGCACACACCTGCGAGTGTGGATTACAAAAAGCTGGGTGGGCTCAACCCTGACGACAACCCTAGGTAGGGATATTCTTGTTTCAGTGTGGAAACTGAGGCTCGGAGTGTAAAGTCACTTGCCCAAAGCCACACAGCGGGCAGGTCCCGGGCAGAACTGGAAGGCAAGGGCCGGCCCCGCAGCTTCTGGCCTTTGTTACTAACTTCTGTGACCGTGACGGTGATGTGAGCAGGGAATGTAGAGAAGGGGACATCCAGCCTGGGAGTAAGGAGGAGGAAAATCCCAAGGGGCATATGGCGCCCCAATACCTGGGCCCCCAGGCTCCGGCCAGCTGAGCAGAGCCCGGCTGCGCCTGCCAGTGAAACGTCATCAGCTTCACAGCTGCTGAATTGGCTCTCTGAGGAGAGCTCTGACCCTGGCGGAGCCTCCCTGCCAGCCACCCTGAAGGCTGTCCCTCGCCCTGTGCAAAGGGCCCCTTTGGAGCCCAGCGCTGGCCCTGCCCTGCCACCCTGTCCAGCCCCAGCTCCCAGGAGCCCTGGGGTTCTCTGACACTGAGGCCTGTTCACACATCTGGGCCCGTCACCTTCCTGGGCTGCCTTCTGGAAAGGCACAGAATAAAGAACCCTTTCCTGACTCCCTTAGATGGACCCATTTTCTCCTCCTCTCCCCCCCCAGATCTCTGAGAGCCCTGCCCCCCATGGCATCGGCTAAGTCCAGGGCTCTCCCGTGGCCAGGCAGCCTCCGGCAGCCCATTCATTTCAGCGCCCCATTGCCCAGCCAGACGCGGCCCCTCACAGAACTCGGGAGCCCCCTCTCTGCCGCCTGGACACGGAGGGGTGACTGGTCAACGGAAAAGGCCGGAGGGGGTCACTCAGCAGCCCCCATGCTTCTGCCTGCCCCTCTGCCTCTGGCCAGGGCTCGCTGGGCCAGTGGGAAAGAAGATCAGCTGGCAGCCAAGAGACGCTCCCGCTCGCGGCTGGGCTGGTGAGTCCCCGCACGGGCCCATTAGGGAGGGCATGACCGAGGCTCAGATTCCTGGGATCGAAGCAGAACCTCAGGGAAGGGGAAGCAGGAAGGTTTGGACCACAGAGAAGCGAGAAGCAGGAAAAAACACTCAGCAAAGCCGGGACAAAAGCCCTTCCCATCCTGCGTGAAAAACCCCCAGAGACCAGGACGCTGCCAGAGGAAGTGCCCTGCCCTGGACCCAGGGCTCTCCGATCAGGAGAGCACAGGGGGCTCACGGGGCGTCTAGAGAGGAAACTGGCAGCCGCCCGCGGGTCCTGGGATCCTTGCCCCTCCAGGACCCGAGGGGCGGGTAGAAGGCAGATGGGATGGGTCAAGTCCCGGCCCCTTGCCTCACCCATGGGGCCAGCCCAAACGGGGAGAGGACCCACGCCATGCCACACACATGGAACAGCCGGGGCTCAGCACGATGCCCTCCGTGGCAGACGCAGGAGCCACCGCCAGCAATCTTGACGTCCAGCGGGACACGGCCCCGACTCAGGGGCTCGCAGGGGCCACTCCAGCTCTCCCGTGCCCAGCTCTGCGGGCAGGCAGTGCCCCCGGCCCATCCGGCCTCATGCCCCTGGAGGAAGCCTAGGCCGGAGTGGCGTCAGCGCCGACAATGCCGCTCAAGGCTGCGGCGGCCCAGGGGAGGGCACCGGCCGCTGATGACCCCCGGCCCGGAAGAGCTGGGCTGGCCTGGGAAAGGCGGCTGCCGGGGGGCTTGGCGTGAAGTTGCCGGTGCCCAGGCCCGAAAGGGTGGGCCTTGGCGGACTCGGGGACTCTGAGGTTGCCAGAACACCTGACCCGGGGGGCCCCACCAGGCAGCATGACTGGGGAGATCTGCCTTGCGCTGCCTTGCCTGGCCTCAGTTTCTCCCGCTGCTTCCTGAGGCCTTTGTTCCCTCAGGAGCCTCCCCAGATGGGATGTCTTGTGGCAGAGAGGAAGGTGGATGGTAGGCCCTGAGGACCCCACCTGCCCTCCCACCGAGCTCCCCAGGCACACACAGACGAGACACGCGCACCCGCACCGACACAGGGCCGGCGTCACGCAGGGCGGCGTGGGCGAGGGCCCAGAACACTCACTCCACGCCACACTCGGAGCTGCGAGGAGCCCGCCAGCCCGGGGGGCACAGGGTGGTTGGGCCCTCTTCCCGACGCTGGGCTGGGGCAGCCAGAGACAGTCTCTCAAGGAACCCCGCTTGCCCCCCAGGGGAGCCCAGGGTCTCAGCAAACAAGAGAAACCCCGTAAGAGGGACGACTGGAAGGCTGGAGAAAGCAGAGCAAAAAGACACATCAGGAGAGACCGCAGCAGATGGGGGATGAGGGGGAGGGAAGAGCAGAGACTGAGACTGAGGACAGGGAGGGAGGAGGAAGGAACGGGGTGGGGGTTGGGGGGTGGGGGGCTGCCCAGCAGGCGGGAGGCTGTGATGGACCAGAAAGACTCCCCAGTGTTCCCAGACATGCCCAGAGCTGGTGCTCAGGACGGCCCCATCCCAGGGTCACCGGGACGGCCCGGCAGCGCAACACCCCAGATCTGACCCCGGCCTGGCGGGAGGAGGGACTCACCTCCAGCTCCTTGAAGACCATGCACCTGCGCGCCCAGTCCACGATGGAGATGAAGGTCTGGTCGGCCATCCTGCACAGCAGGCTGAAGGGCGCGGGCTGGTCGGGGCGGCCCCGGGCCGGCTCCTGCAGGCAGCCCACGATGCGCGCACGCACCTGGTCCTCGTCGGGCTCCAGCTGCAGCAGCTGCAGGATGAGCTCGGGCACACCGGGCCCTCCGGAGAAGGGCTCTGGGTAGCCATAGGGGGGCCCCGGCTGCGGGGGGCTGGCATAAGGCTCGGGGTACTCGGACTTGATGGCTCGGCCAGGGAAGGAAGGGTAGAGGTAGCCAGCCAGGGACCCGTGGGCGCTGGGCACGGCCATGGGCAGCGTCGGGGCCCCAAATTCGCCCAGGGGCCCAGCAGGCGGAGCAGAGCCCAGGGCCTTGGACTCAGGGGCATGCAGGCCTGGAGGCAGCATGTAGTCCGGCGGGGGCGGAGGGGGCGGGGGCACCCCCAGGGGGGGCCCTGTCTCCAGCTTGAAGCCATTGGCTCGAATCTGTGCCTTCTTCTGCTGCTTCAGGGCCCGGTCTCGCTTGTACATGGGCCCGAACTTGTTCCGGCCGCCCCGCATGCGGTCAGCACGCACGGCTGTGGGCAAGAGCAGAGGTCAGGGCTGGCCCTCCCTCCCGGCAGGCACGCACAGATCTCTCCCGACACACCGGTCTTCGCACTCCCCTGCCCAGTGCTGCCAGGCTCTCCCTACCCGTAGAAGCAGTGGGCCTCCTCGGCGTTCGAGGCCCGGCCCACTCTCCCACCTCTCCCCCCGCCCAGACCTGGCCTCTCGCCTGTCCACCTTCCTCACCACTCTGCCCCTCTGCTTGGCACCTTCTCATCTTCCCCCGCCCGCCCCAAACCCTCCTCATGCCTCCCGAATACGAAGCCCTGAGGTCACCTCCAAGCGTTCCGGGTTCACCCGAGCAGAGCCCACTGTCCTGCCGCTCAGGGGGCCGCCTCTCATCGCCCACCCTCATCGCGCTAAGTGGTGTGAGAGCACGTGAGACAGGGAGACGCCTGGGGCTTCACGGGTTCAGGTGCCCAGCCCAGCAGGGAGCCGGTGGCAGGAAGTGGCCTGAGTGGCTCCTTCACAGCTGGGTCCCAGTGTCCAGCTGCTTCTTGACTGCCTGCCTGCCTCTGTCAAGCCCTTATTGCAACCGACGCGGGCTTTCCCCATTGCCTTCAAGTTGGATGCTGAGTTTAGGGCTGGCCCAGGCTCTCTGCTGGAGGAAGGGGCCGCTCTTGCCGACCAGATGTCTCTCCATTTGGCCAAGAATGTGTCACCAGTCAGACCAACAGGTGCATCTCTGCCTCCGCAGTGTGGCCCCGGGCCCCGCTCACACAGGACCCCACCGCCCCCCAGGAGAAGGGAGAGGGCAGGCTCAGCCGCTGCGCCTCTGGCCCCTCCCTGCAGCCTCCTGCCTCGGTGGGCACCTCTGTTCCCTGAAGCCAGCTCTCCTGAGGGCCAGAGGTGGAGGACAGGAGCTCCAGGACAGGCCAGGCGCTCTCCCCACCCAGGCCTCTTTCCTCCAGGTGGCGGGACTCGTGGGGGTCCGCAGCCCTCAGAGCCGCTAGGGCCTTCACATTGTTTAGAAACTTTGGCCAGCAGCTGCCTGCCAGGCCGGCAGCCCGCGGAGGCCAGCAGAATGGAAGCCTGGGGCTGTCCACCCGCAAAGAGCTCGAGTTCCTCTTGCTGAAATGTCTGCCCTCCCTTCTGGACTGAGTGCTGGGGCTGAGGGGAGGCAAGGACAGGCCTGGGTCCTCCGGGGATCGTGGCCCCAACACCGCAGCCGTCTCAGGACCTGGCTAAGCAGGTGGTGGGAAGGACTCCCACCCACTGAGTGAATAAACAGATGGGTGGACAGGTGACCAGAGGGGTGGGCTGCACAGTGATGGTGGACAGACAATAAGAGCATAAGGAACGCCCATCACGGCAGCAAAGGGACCCTGTGGGGAGCGTTTATGTGCCCGGCACCCGAGTAGGAGCTTTTCACAAGCCGCTCACACTACCCAAGAGGCAGGCGCTGCTGCTAGTGAAGCCCATTTTCCAGCCGGGGAATCTGCAGCTCAGAAAGCTAAGGGACCCTGCAGGAAATGCCCAGCCTGTAAGTGATGGCACAGAGCACTTGGGTGGCAGCGGGGTGCAGGGGAACTTCTCCCTGCGGGGCTCTGTCCTGCTCCTGCGCTGCCCCTCCCAGGGGCTGGGGAGAGGGTCACCTCCTCGGGGTTCCCTTTCTGGCACCCCTCAGCCCGACCCAGACAGGGCCGCACCCACCCCCTACCCAGTGGGACAGAGGCGCTCACCCCTCTGGCGCACAGATCTGGGAGGTTCAATCACCAGCCCTCGGAAACTTGAAGGAGCAAGTGGTGCCCTCACCCCTTCTTCCACCCCAACCCTCCTCTGGCAGTCAGAGGGCAGGGGTCAGAGGCGCACCTTCCAGGCGCATGCCCACCGTCAGGCACTTCTGGAAGCGGCAGAAGGGACAGCGCTTGCGCTGCGTCTTGTCGATCTTGCAGCTCTGGCTCTCGGTGCACGTGTAGTGCTTGTTGTTCTGCACCGTACGCTTGAAGAAGCCCTAGGGACGAGGGGGTCAGCGCGGGAGGCGGGCAGGGTCCGCCTTCCCGCTCTCCACCGCGGCCGCGCCCGCGCTCGGCCCGTGCAGACACCGCCCCGTGCGGACACCCGGCCCGCGCCGCCCTCTCACCTTGCAGCTCTCGCATGTGAGAAGCCCATAGTGGTAGCCGGACACCTTGTCCCCACACACGGGGCACAGCTCGTCCAGGTCCTCGTCGTACGAATAGTCCATGCCCGCCGCGTCCGCCTGCCGAGGGAGGAGGGGGTCACCAGGCGGGACGGGGACTGGCGGCGCCCGAGACCCGGGGTCCGGGTCCTGTACCCCCGCAGTCACGCGCCCACCGTGCCCTCCTGCTGGGCCGGGCCGGCGCCCGGGACAGCGCCCTCAGCATAGGGCCCCGATGCGGCCAGGCGCAACTGCGCCCCGGGCACCCGGGTGGGGGTTCGCCGGGTGCAGCCCACCGAGGGGCCTGTCCTGACCCGACGCCCGCGCTCCCGCTCCCGGAGCTCCCGCCCCTCCCGCGGGCTCACTGCCCCCGCCGCGCCTCAGCCCGGGTCCTCAGGATTCGATGCGCGTTGATCCGGATTCGTTCGTCTGAGAACAAAACCCGGATTCTGAGAAAAAGAGATGGGCTTGGCCGCCCGCGGGGCGCCTGTGGCCCGGCGGAGTGGGGCCGAGGTTCTGAGCACCCGCCAGAGACGAGGGGGACAGAGACAGCGCCTGGCAGAGACAGGGCCATGGGCAGCAACAGAGCGAGACACGGACCGACGCTCCTGAACGGAGAGTCCCCTGAGCAAGACAACGAAATCGAGAGTGCCAGAGACAAAACCTGGGAGGCGAGAAAGCCAGAAAGAGATGTGAGGGGGCACAGGCGGAGGGAGGGAAGGCGAGACCAGAGACACCCACCGAGAGGCAGAGGCCTGCGCGAAAACCCGACAGACACGGACACAGACACGAGACACCAAGACAGGAGCAGCCTGGGCGAGACGGAGGCGAAGGCAGAGAACGGCAGAGACACGGAGAGAAAACCTGCAGGGACTGGGCCTCGGCCAGAGGGTCGGGGCGAAGGTGCGCCAGCAGCCGGCCGCGGGCGCCGAGCTCCGGGGACAGGACCCGACGAGGCCATCCGCAGACAGGCCCGCGGGCCGGCCGCAGCCCAGAGAGGTGGGCAACGACGGCGCC